CACGTAGCAACAAGTCATACTTATGCTCGCCTTTGAAGCATTTAACTGCTTACATTCAGCCATCCTATAAATGGATAACCCCATCCATGAAAACAACAAAAATCAAAAGAGTCAACTAAAGTACATAGTCCTTTAAATAGGAAGGTAATTTTTTTGGTCTTTTCTGTTGAACATTTAATTCATCTCTAGATGTGTCTTCCGAAATCTGAGACAGAACTAGCGAGTCGGTGATTATCGATGGTTCATTATCATCGTCATCTTCGTAAAACAATGAGTCATCATTTTGTGATACGTCATTATCATTCACAATATGAAATAATTTCATTTGAGATGCATGAGCAGTTGTAGTGTAAGCCCGTCTTGTGCGGCCTTGTTCAGATTTTCTAAAAAATCTGTGACTTGATATACGATGATGTAGTAATGATGATGATTAGACCTTCATTACTACAAGAGGGCCTCCATAGCGAGATTGAGATTTTGTACGCAATCCAGTTTTCTCCGGAAGTCTCTTTACAACGACTACGTCTCCGACTGAATATTTATGCGCATCGCAATGTCTTTTATCGAAAGATAATTTCATGTTTTCTTGTGATTTCAAAATATTGTCTCGTGCTTCTTGGCGCAGCAACTCGGGAGACGTATACTCATCAGAAGTCGGAAGCAACTCCTTGGGAAAATTATCAAATTTATTAGGTTTAAATCTATACAATAATTCAAAAGGAGCTTTTCCTGTCGATTTACTTGGAGTCCAGTTAATGCAACGCTGAATTTCTGGAAGCAATTTGTCCCAATCTCTGTGAGTGTCGGATTGTGAGCTTGACGAAATCATAGGTATTAAAATGCGGTTTATTCGCTCTACTTGCCCATTTGCTGCTGGTCTTTGACTACAGTTTAAAGTATGTTTTATTCCATGCTTCATACAGTATTCTTTAAAATTAGAAGACGTAAAACAAGTTCCACGATCCGTTATTATCCTGTTGGGGCTTCCAAAATCATTAATAAAATTTTCAAGACATCTTAATACGCATCTTGTTGAACAACTAAAACAGGGCCGAAGGAAAACAAATTTCGTTAAATTGTCTACGAAAAGCAACAGTTCTGTGTTACGATTTACAGTAATATTGAAAGGTCCTATAAAATCTAAATGAATTATATCAAACGGTCGTTTGCCTGGTGGTATTGGATTCAGTTTACCCTGAACTTTTCCTGCTGGTACTTTCGTAAAGGCACAACTAACACATTGCTGTATATGCTGCTTTATATAATCTCTCATTCGAGGAAAATAGAATTGTTGCTTGATAAGTGAGACTACTTTATCAACCCCAAAATGGCCAGAGAGTTCATGAAATCGAACAGCAAGATATTTTCTCATCGATTTCGGCATTACGAATAATTTCATATACTTCCCATTAATTATTTCAAGGCTATAAAGTATATCATTTATGAGTTGGTATTTGTTTTCAAAGTTCTTGGTTTTTGTCCGAGCTTACAATTTTTCAAACACTTGATGATATTTTGAAGTTCATCATCTTGCGCTTGAATCAAAGCTGCTTTATCTTCTTCTGTACTAATATACAATACGACTGATTCCATTTTTGTTTTCATCTCGTTTATTTTATCGATTTCAGACAATTTCTCCACTTCTTCATTCATTATTGGAGATCGTCTAAGGGCATCAATATGAGCCATTTGAGAGCCAGATTTGTGCTTGACTTCATAATTAAACTCACTTAGCTGCTCAATCCATCGAGCCATTTGTGGCTTCATATTACGTTGACTCTTTCAATAAATAATCGCACTGCAGTCTGTCACAAGAGTAAACGTAATGCCAAGAAGGAATGGTCGAAGACGGCTACATGCCCACACTGTAGCTAACAGTTCTAATTTGCTTGAGTGGTAGTTTTCTTCATCGGGAGAAGTGCACCTGCTTACACAATAAACTAAACGTAGTGCATTATTTGAATCCCGTTGAAGTAACATTCCTCCTAATCCTGAAGAAATTGCGTCTGTATGAAGCTCAGTTTCATCACGACGGTCAAATAATTTTAAAATTGGCTCAGGCGTTAACATGGTCCGCAATTTCTCAAATACCGTCTGATGCTTGGGATTCCATGCAAATGCTTGACCATTTTTAAGCAAACGTGTAAGTGGGGATGCGATGGCAGCGTATCTTTCTATAAAACGGTGAAAAAAACTAGTCAAACCTATGAATCGTCGAAGTTCATGCTTTGATCGCGGAGCAGGGAATTTTGCAATTGCATCAACTTTTCTTGGACCCGGTTTAATTCCTTCTGAACTAACAATAAATTCCAAATATTCAAATTCAGACATAGCAAATTCACATTTGGACAGCTTCAACGTTATTCCAGCATCACTTAATTTTTGAAGTACTGCTCTAAGTTTTAAAATCATATCCTTAAAATCCACCGATCCGAAAAAAATGTCGTCAATAAAGCATGTAACGCCTTTCCACATTAGGTCACCGAGTGCCTTTGACATGCATCTTTGGAAAACAGCTGGACCATTAGACAATTCAAAAAATAAACGTGTGGGTTCAAAGTGACCATCAGGTGTAGTAAATGCGGCTTTTCGAGATAATTCATTATCCATAGGTATTTGATTGAAACCTTGACAAGCATCAAGTATGCAGAATAAGTTGAATCCTGATAGTTGATCTAAAAGATCATCTGTACACGGTAAAGGGAACTTGTCTTTCACGGTTTGAGAATTAAGTTTCCTATAATCGATAACCATTCGATATTCTCCAGTTTTCTTCTTTACAAGCAATACAGGACTACTATATTCAGATGAACTATCTCGAACAATACCTTGTTCCTTCATATCGCTAACTATGCCACGCATAATCTCTCTTTCATGATGTGAAGTACGGTATGGCGACCGAGAAACTGGTGAACTTCCAGGTTTTTCAGCAATGTGCATAACTGTATTATTAACGCAACCTAGCTCATCAGGCTTCAGAGCTATACACATTCTAAACTCATTTAACAAATTACTTATATGCTGCTTCTGATCTGTTGTTACAGTTGGACCAACTTTAATATCGTCACATCGAATAGGTTCTCTTTTAATATTTTTGTTAACTAAAACCAATTTACTCTCTTCACAGATGTCTGTATTATCAGGAGTAAAGTCTGTCAGCCATTTGCCTCTTAGAAGAATGCGATCTTTCTTAAGATGAAGTTTGCTCTCACTGAAATTCGCGATTGGTAATTTAGCTTTACCGTCTTTTATCAAGTAGGCATAATCACTTTCATGTTTACTTATAAAAATTTCTTCACTACCGGTTTGGTTACTATTGCTGATTACTTCTACCATTTGTACTGTGTTTGGCAGAATTTTTACTGGTTCTGATATTTTGAGAACAGCGTCTTTGAAGTCTTCAATTTCAAAATTCTTAAAGCATGGAAATTCATTTACACTAAACAGCATTGATTTTCCTTCCTTTCTAACCATCATCAGATCTGGTATATCTAGGATATCTTTTCCAATGAGTATGTTAGGTTCCGGAAACGTTTCGTCTGCCACAATATGTAGTTTTACATCATTTAGTACCAGTCTGTCAATGGTTAAATTTACTGCGCAAGCGCCTAATGATTTTCTCAACCCACCAACTCCTCGTATGATCATAACGTCACCATTATATGTATTATATACTCCTATCTCTTTAGAGAATGTGTATTTAATCATTGATATGTCGGCAAAGCACTTGTAGCTATCCCATGTACAAGAACTGTGTTACTAGTAGTAAGATTTTCGATGGGTGATAACGTTGAAACGTTTACTGACGGTTTGCTAATTTTCTTAGGACATTCTTTCGTACCGTGTCCTTCTGTGCGACAAAATGTACAAAATTTTGGACGCTTTGGCTTAGAGCAGTCACGAGAATAATGTCCTTTTTCAGAATAATTATAACATATTACGGATTCTAACCCTTTAATTCTAACAACTTGATCATTTCCTTTTACTCCAAATTGATCACATAGAGAGGGTACCTGAGAGTTATTCTTGTACAACTCTTTCAGTTCAATATAATCGTCAATTTTATTCACTAATAACATTGACGACTTCAACAAGGACCACTCACTGACATAATATTCTTGAACTGCTGCTGGTGCACTTTGCTTAATTCTGTCTGATATAATTAAATTTTTTAAATCTTCCACTGTTTTTATATTTAAACCTTTTATCCATCCATCAAAAAATGTTTCAAGTTCATAATAATATTCTCGCCAAGTACTATCAATTTTAATTTTATGCGAATAAAACAACTGTTTAAATTTTTCAGGACTCAATTTATATCGTTTCAATAGCAATTCCTTCACATGAGAATAGTTTTCCGCTAATTCTTCTGATTCTCGCAAGATTATTTCAACTATATCTCTAGGTAAAACACTAGTCAAACAAGCCACCCATAAGTTTAGCTCCATTTTAACTCGTTTCATTAATTACTCTTTCGAAATGCACTAAGAATAAACTTATGTCGTCATTTTTCGAATCAAAGTACCTTAACTGAGATTGCCAGTCTATTTTTGGTTTTGGCGAATCAATAGGTAAATAAGTGCTAGTGCCAACGTTCCCTAGGTCCAATTTTCTCATTTCTAATTCATGATTTCGCATAGCTTCTTTCTCACCAGCGGCGACTTCTCTCTTAGCAGCGGCAGCCTCTGCTTCTCTATCCGCATTTAAATTGAATATCATTCCTTGTACCAAATCCTCATCATAGTTTTTACTATTTAAAATCAAGTTTTTTAGATCTACAACCTTAAAAGCATCGTGTACTTCTTCGCTAAGTTCCGTTACAATAACCTGTAACTCTGACTTGCGTACTTTAGACAAATAAGACATCGTAAATTAGGAAAGAAAAGAAACATAAACAACAAATTACCGTTCTTTTTATCCCACTTCTGAATTGTAAGAGATATTTAACGTATATTTTAAATATATCTTTATTAATCGTATTCGAATCAAACTCGACATAAAAACATAATAATTCCAAAAACAATATTTACGCACGTTGCAACAAGTCATACTTATGCTCGCCTTTGAAGCATTTAACTGCTTACACATACATCTGCTTTTTAGTCACTTTTCTTTTGGAAAGTGATGTACTATGTGCTGGACTGGGCATGAGTGTTTATTACTTCTTCCTTACATCTTTCTTTTGGATGAATGCCATAGCATTTGATGTTTGGCGATCATTTAGAGTTGTGATTCGCGAGTTAAGAATAACCAGCAACAAAGTTCCGTGGAGAAGATTTCTTTTGTACTCTTTGTACTGCTGGGCAATCCCTGCTTTACTGACAGTCCTGGTTAAAGTGTTCGATTCCACTAACATCTTACCAGAAGATTTGAGGCCATCTTTTGGACACCAGTTTTGCTGGTTCGGGCAGCGCAAAGCCTTACTTCTGTTCTTCGAAGTTCCATTAATCATTGTTATGCTCTTAAACGGAGCATTTTTCGCCGATGTCATCTTCGTTATCAACCGAGCAACGATTAAGTCTGGATCGGCGCAGGATGTTAACTTGCGAAGAAGTTTCGCCATGTTTACGAGGTTGGCTTTAATTATGGGCTTAACTTGGGTGTTTGGTATCGCAGCTGGATTTTCTGATAATCCCTTTTTGTGGTACATTTTCATCGTCCTGAATACTTTACAGGGGCTATTCATTTTTGGAGTATTTTTGGGCAGCTCAAAAGTGCGTAGTTTTGGTACTAAGCAGAATAGAAGTCGAAGGAGATCTAAAACAAGCGTTAGAACAGTATCTGCAGTTCTGTGATAGGTTTAAATTCATGTATCAGTGTATTTACGTTTCATACTCAGTCAAACACAGACTCTAAATGTATAGTACAATTTATAATGTAAATATTTTAAAGTGTATATTTTATTTGATTTCTACGCATGTGTATGTAATATGTTAGGACATTCTGTGTCCGTGTGTGAATATTGTAAGAATTTTTTGTGTAAATTTTATTGTGACTAATTTTTATGTAAATAAAGTGCTAATATATTTTTAACAAAATTTCGAAATTTAAAGGTTTCTTCCTGAAATTTCAAATATTTATACGCAAATAATCTGAGTTCTAATTACGAAACTTATTTAATTTCTTTTCAACTGAACAAATTGTTAAAGCAAAATGCTGGTAGCGTAAAAATTCCTCAGTTTAAGAATTTTAGTCAGTTGCAGTTAACAAATATTTTTAATAAATAATTTATTTATAAAATTTGAAAGGAAATTAATTTCATGATAATGTTTGAACTTCTATACTTATGTCAAAATCACTGAAATGTAAATACGCTTTTCACTTAGTTTCAGTGAAGTTTTTTTCTTAAATTAGTACGAAAATAAAAGCTACGGACACCGCCATTTTTAAATTTTTTGTTACTCTGGCAACTGTTTATATCGTATTTTGAGGTGGATCAATGAGGAATCGCATCTAATCTAAGGTTTTCCCTTTAATTTTCTTAGAAGGACTTTTTGCAATTTCGTGCTTGGTTAATTTAACATTATTGCTGTTACAATATGATCATTCACACTTACGAATCAGATGTATTAAACTTTATCAGAGAGAAATGCAGGAACAAAAAAATAGAATCTAGTATGAAACTGAGATTAACAATATTAAATAAACTCATCGTGTCAAATAAATTGCACTTTAAGAGTGTCGACAAACTCTACAATAATGCAATATCAGGTTTAAAACACCATTTAAGAAGAATATTTACTATTTAAATAGAAAAATCAAGTATAAATTTCTATGTAACTATTGTATTTTTTACCTTTGGAAATGGTAAAACTCAAAAAATAATTTAATTGAAAACATCTACCAGTATTTTAATTTTAAAATTTTGTTTTTAAAATTTTCTTTTTCTTCATTATTATGATAATTTTTTACGATCATTATCTTGATAGTTTTTGCGATTCTTCTTCTCATGTGCGCTGGTTGAATAACCAGCGAATTTGGTTAGTAACCTATTTGAGACCGGTCGTAAACGGTTTTCCCCAGAATAATTTAAATATTCATGACTGCAAATATTCTTTTTAATAATTATAACAGATATATAGAATTGATTATTTTTCCCCCCACGAAACTAAGTAATAAGTGAGTTATAATTTGAAATTTAGAATTGCAGGAATTTATTTTTTCGTATTACGAATTGCCGCTATAAAGAGTTTTAATGCCAGCTTTCCTCTCTGATTTTATTTTTTTGCAATGATCTAAAGTTCATCTCTTTCTAATTTATGAGAATGCTGCTGTAGATATTTTAAAGTGGAATCATAAAAATAGAAAAAAACATTATTAGTGAGGTTATATTAACTTTAATGTGCACCTATGTATTAAACAATTAATGTGCTATAGATATCTAATTGTTAAGATATAAGACTTTAAGAAGGTTGGTATTAAAATTTACATACTAGCACACAAAATGTTCAATGAGAAAATTGAGGTTTGTCTGCTGCATCCACCAGAGAATAGATATTTACATTTTAAATTTAAAATTTACAAATGTTTGTGTAAATATGTTCGTCCAAAACGAGAGGTTTCAAAAAGTTAAATCGGAGAATTTCTTCGAGAAAATTTCTGATACGCACATGCTAAATTATATTCACAAAATACAGAAAAATGAAATAAAAAAGAGCAACATACACGATTATTTTTGTATTTGAATAAATATTTTCTTGGATGCAAGACTTGAGAAAAAATGTTTTTTTGCACCGTTGGTATTTTAAATTTCACAGAAACGAAGAAATTAGGTTTTTAATAACGAGAAAAGGATTTTAAACCCATACAGATTTTTTGCGAAAATTGTCTGCAAAATGACAATTAATATATTTTAGTTCGTGGGCCACATAAAAAAAGCTTCTCACAGTTGGAAACCACTGCTATAGAGCTTTCGTTATACAGTAATGGAGTTTATGGCGTAGTATATAGCTACCGTTGTATAAAGAATAGTCTTACAGAATAGTCTTTCCCATCCTCTAGAAATTAAAAATGGTGTACGACAGGGAGATGCCTTGGCGTGTCTCCTCTTTAATCTAGCATTAGAAAAAATAGTAAGGGGCTCAAACATCAACATCCGAGGAAATGTCTTCAACAAATCAGTTCAAATATTGGCTTTTGCTGATGATTTAGATATTATCGCTAGAACACAGACAGCACTAACACAATCCTTTTTATGTCTGGAGAAGGAAGTCATTAAGATGGGATTGAGAATCAATGAGAATAAAACTAAATATATACCCTGCACAAAAGCTGGCTATGAAGAAACACAGTTTGAAATTGGAGCATACAAATTCGAAGCCGTTGGTAGCTTCACCTATTTGGGATCTAAGATTAACAACAAAAACGACACTACACAAGAAATACAACGAGAATAACGATGGCCAATAAGTGTTCTTATGGGCTAAGAAAATATCTTAAGTCAAGCCTAATAAAAAGAAAAACAAAAGTGTTACTCTACAAATGTCTTATACGATCAGTGCTTACCTACGCATGTGAGATCTGGACAATGACCCGTGGAGATGAGAATAAGATGGTTAGATTTGAGAGAAAAATAATGCGAAGCATTTTTGGTGGAATAAGTAAAAACGGTACCTGGTTTAGAGTTGTGTCTATC